GGTAAGCGAAACGCTTACCGATCATCGCAATACGATGTTTTGCCACCTAAAACATCGCAATGCGATCGCATTAGTGATCACAAAAAACGTGTCGCTATGCGGATTCGTCGTTAAACGGTGCACACGTTAAACGAGGCACCACTGTAATTCCATAAGTAGACGGTCCACTGTAGTTTCAAAAATAAACAATGTCAATTATGTAATTCAGAAAGAGGAAGATGTAAGCCCTGATGCCTTAAAGAGGGACGCATCTAAAGATGTTTGGGAGGAGGAGAGGGAACTGCCAACTCTTTCCCCAACTGAGAAAGTGAAGCCCCGAGCCAGACTTAAAGCAGACTTCACTATAAAACAACCAGCAGACGACATCCAGTGGACAACCGAGTGGCTGATGACCGCCAGTCGAAGGAAAAGGTTGCGGAAGAAGGAGCCAGTGATCAACAGAGAGACTCCTGAGTTTCAGCAGATGCGTGTCCAGCTGAAGGAAGGAAGTGATGACTACCAGACCAGTCCACGGTGCACCTTATTACAAAAGAAGTGATGACTACCAGACCAGTCCACGGTGCACCTTATTACAACAGGAAGATGAAAGACTTGGACTTTGCAACAGAGACTCAGATTGTGCCTCAAAAGCCCACAACATTGTCGTGGATGCGCTTTCCAGGAGGCTAGATGAATGATGCAAGCACTTTTAAAATAAACTGGAATGGACTTTGATTTACAGGTTAATTATTTATGTAAAAGTTTACAGGTTGTGATATTTATTATTTACACTTACTACATTTAACATTTTCAGCCATTCATAAGTGTCACTGATAAGGTAAAGTATATTATTGAATAGTAGTGAAATGTTTAATGTATAAGGTATAGTAATTGTTATATTAAATGTGATGTTGCCTATAGAATTGTGTTTTATGGTAAGTAAAGTTTAATGCAATTGTACCTGTTTGTTTAGGAGGAAAAACGTGCTTTACCTCCCAAACAAACATATTTAAGGGGGGAGGTGTGTAGCGTTCACCCTTATTATGAAGTAGTCATGCATATTCATGTTGCAGGCTAAGGTTGCTAAGAGGCGGAGCCAAGAGATATGTAATAAAGAGGTGGAGTCAGAGAGTGAGTCAATCAGAGTGAGTGAGAGTGGAGAAGGAAATAGAGTGTGGTATTTGGGAGATCTGAGGTATGATTAGAGTGAAGAGTGAATAAGAACTATATAACAAATAGAAGGTTGAGATTGATGATAAATACCTGTAGAACTCACCTATGATTAATATCAAACATTTGTAATCAATAAACAAGTTTTATTTAGAAGACAGTGAAGTTTGGACCTTCATTCTTCATCCTTCCATGAGTAATGTTGATTTAGTGATCAACTGGTGGCAGTGGGTGAAAAGGAGTATTAGTTTGCCTTCGTATGCTCTGTGTTTGGGGAGTCAGGCAGGGGGGACGAGGGGCGAACACCACACAAGGTTTGAAATCTGCAGAAATCACTAATTGGTTGTACATAGAGGATTTTCTAATGTTTATTTCAAGTGGCACCTTTGTGTGATATCCCTGGAAACACTTTTAGAATTGAAAGGCACCAGTGGATGCTCTGTTGTTTTCATTGGCATCAAATTGATGATTAACAATATTTATGGATTACTTTTCAACAGAAGTCTATGTATGTGCTCTGTTTTGTATGGATGTTTCCACAAACTTCCAGCAGCCTCATTAAAGCTGAGCCAGGGCTGCTTGTATCATGGTGCTGCGTTTTGCATTCTGCTCTGAATCCCAACAGCCCATCTCCTATTCTTCAAAGGTTCTCTCTGGAATCCACAAAGAGTTTGGAAGCTGCAGGGATTCAGTGAGACTCCCAGTGTTGGAAACTGCATCATAACTTGGCCCTAACAGAGGTGCCACAACAATTCCTTTTTTTAATCACACGTGACCTGTATCTCTAGATTTTATTAGACCTTCATTCTGCAGAAGTGCTTACTGAGTTGTGGCTCAGATTCTAGAATCCAATAGTGTACACTTCCGGTAGATCCCCTTGTTCCTGCCAGAAGCAGCCACCTTTATACATCCCTGGTTCTTCCTAAAAACGTGCTCCGTAGGGATGGGAAACCTGTGTAGCATAGCGGATAACTATGTTTGGAATATAAGCCAAGGTACACATAAGCCTTTGGGTGTGCGTTCAGCTGCTTTACTCCTCTCTCGGCACAAGCCAAACCCATGTCAGGGAGTCTTCACGTAACTGCTGTTTCATTTTCTGTCCAACCTGGAAAATTGGTTAATGGTTGGAGCTGAAAATGGTATGGAGCCATGAATGAAAGTTGTGTATCATGGCTTGTCCATGAACTAATTCATTTTCGGATTCAAAAATAATGGGAAATTACATTTGACAGAAGACTTCCTGGCTTGTTTTTTTTGGCTCCTGGGAAAGAATGAACATGGTGGGGGATTTTGGAGTCCATGAAGTACAGTCATATCTCAGCTTGCTAAACAAAGAAAATTGTCTGAACGTGTCTAGGTAAGAGTCCAGAGTTCATCTAATCCCTGTTTTTCATGGAACACTGCCTGACTCAAATATCAGGTTAGACCACACCCCCCAGGTCTGCTTACTTAGGCGATTATGTAAGCCTGCTTTCATTGAACTTTGCAATGCTAATCTTTTTCAATACTTGGATGAAAGAATTTGGGTAAAGAATGCATTGTGTTTCAGTTAAGATTGATAAAAGGGGACATTTCACACACAAAAAGTCAGA